AGTCCCTCTTATTTCCCCACCCACCCCAAGCTGCAAAATGCTGATCGCCCCGCCCCCCTCCCGCCGTTTCCCCGAGTGGAGGATGACGATTTCTCTTGGCTCCCTTCCAAGAATGCTGTCTTCTCTTTATTGATGGGGATTGCGCTGTTCATTCTTATCGGAGGAATAGATTTCAGCTATGCGCTCGCTCCATTAGCTCCGATACACCGTGGGGAATCGAGCTGCCCATCTCCTTCGTTGCGATTGCCGGCAACGGAGCGCTTACCCTGCTTGCTGCCAACTCGGTGATGTCATCTTCAACTGCAATGCGACCTCCCCTCCTGGCCTTGTGCAAAACTCCCTTAATGAGGCGTCTGTGCTCCTGGCTGCTTCCCTGTTGGCACTCGGGAAAGCAAAGGGCGTGCGGCACAAATCCATCTTTGCAGGCATTCATCTTTATTGTTGCATACTGACCCAAAGTACCTCACTCCCTCTCCGATGAGACTGATTGAAATTCAATGGGAGGAAAAAAAAATGCCAGGAGAACAATTTGTCCTTAACTAAACACAGCCTTTTTCTTCTTTTCTTGCCTCTTCTCATTGCACCCCCCCACCCCACCCCCACCGAGCTATACAGGAGCTGTTGCTAGTTCACTTCCAAGATTCTCCTTCTGGCAAGGAGAAATGATTTGCAGCCGGTATTTCGAAGCGTTAGCTAAATCCCGTGGATAGATATGACTAGATTCTAACCCCTCTCCTTAGTACACTTCTTTCCATCGTGCAGCATTTAGGATGAGGTGCAAAAAACCAGAGGCAAGCTGCAAAAATGATCCCCAAGGAAAATAAACGGTGATTACTTGACACCTACAGTATGTTTTCATTCTGGACAAAGCCTGCACAACAGAGAAATAGGAATGTGTTATGCATTTGGCCACTTTATTTTAAATAGCAGTTTAGGTTAATAGTGTTCATTGCCAAGGAAAATACATACATTCCCAGCTTCCGGAGAGGACACAGGATTTATTCTGGACTTCATAAAACTCGGGAAGAGAGATATGTGTGTGTGATTTGTTTTCCATTTCTTAGGATACTTTACATCATACTGTAATGGCAACTGTCTGATGAAGGAAGGTTATGATGGCTGGAGTTTTTTAGTTTAGAAAAAGGGCATGTAAGCGGGGCAGAGGGCATAATAGAACATACAGAATTATGTACAATATGGGGGGGAATTGATAGAGTGAAAATGTTTCTCCCTCTTTTATAGTACGGTACAGAACTCAGAGTCCTTCAATGAAGATGAACAGCTGGAGATTCAGAACATATAAAAGAAAGCACTTGTTCATGCCATGCATAATTACACCATGGAATTTGCTACTGGAAGATAGAAGGATAGTTATCATCTTGGACAGCTTTAACAGGAGTGGCCAAATTCACGAAGGACAAAGCCATCAGCAGCTACCAGACACTGGTTATATTGTCCTTGCAGTATCAGAGGCATCTGGTTGGCTCCTCTGTGAACAGAATGCTGGGCTAGATAGACAGACCTCTCATGATCTGATCCCTCCCTCTTTTTTAATCTTACTTGTGACTCTCACTTTACAGTTACATCAGTCAAGGTTGGATAGAGTAAGCCCAAGGCCATCCCATGAGCTTCATGTCTGGGCAAGATTTGGACCTGAGCATCTCACAATCAAATATGTGATAAGACAGCTTTTGAAGGTAAGCTATTCGGGAAGTTGTTTACACTTGTATAAAGTCATACCCAAGTTCAGTTAATTTTACCTGAATTACTTCCAAGTAAAAGCACATTTATACACATTTATTTTGGAACAAATGTTCATGTTTTCAGCGTCATCTTATGATTTCCCAGAACTCCACACGTAATTGTAACCTAGGTACATGCATGGATTTTATTCTTCATCATTCATCATGCTCCAAGAATAAAAACACTGAAGGTCCAACCAGTTTACTGCTGCAATCAGCGTAAAGCCCTGCTGACTTTGGTAGGTATTGGATAAGGTTTTAGTACTGGAAAATTATTTGAATGGTTGATGGAACATGAATAATTTCATACACACCACAAACACAGTGGAAATTGTCTACATTATGTCTGTGAGACACAAGTTTCTGTCAGTCAATCAGTGATCATTCTATTCTGTGGCTTTCCAAGCTTGATTGCAAAAAGATATTAATTACATGCGGGGTCATAAGTTTTTGGTGGAATTTTACTTGCTGGGAGAAACGGGGTATTTATATTTGTATGGTGAGTGTTGTGTATATTTTTAATTTTTTTTTGTAGTGGTGTTGTCCAGTTTTACCTTGGGGAAGAGCACCTCATTTCGTTGCACCCACTTGTGAGTGCAATGACAAATAAATTTCTTATGTCTTATGTCTTATAATCTACTACAAAACCTGAAGAAGCATACATTTTCCAGGACATTAATCAGTGGGACAGAATGAGCATAGGATGAGGACATGACAACACAACTCAGTGGGAGGACAGCAGTCTTGTGACAATACTGGCATACAGCCCCACAATTAATTCACCTAACTTGTGATTTGGGGCTCACATGACTTGCAGTAAAAATCCCAAGAACTTCACTGTATTTGTCAGGCCACAGTATCTTCACAAGAGTGAGGCCTCCTGATCGACCAATCAAAATGGAAAACATAAGTGACATTAAGTCTGCTAGTGCTTCTACTATATTCCACCTAATTAACATCTCGTACCAGGGTTGTGCTAGGCACTGTGCTGAACACAGAAGAGATACAGAGCCTGCTGAGAGGCCCTGCAGCCGACAATAGCCAGGCAAGACATGAATGGATCAGAGCCAGAGACGAATACATGGCATGGCAGACAGTTAAGTTACAATGGAGTGGCAGCTGCAGTAATGTTTGCGGGCTATAGAAATGCGTTAAAAGTCTGGGTTGTCTCGTGGTTCAAGAATTGTTCAAAATAAAGACCTATTTGTCTCTCAGTAAAAGAACCATGGTGGGACAATGGGCAGCTAACTTGTGGCCATGTGTCTTCTTTTATAGCGGACAGTCCATTATGAGCTATCATACAGCAAGTATGGTTTAACAATAAAGAACAATAGGAAGGGAGCGCAAGAGTGTGAGTGAGTTCCTGTCAATTGTTAGCATCTGGGCAACAGGCTATGACCCTGTCCACACTTGCATATAGCTATGATACATATTTCCCTGATAGCACTGTTTGGCATGGAAAAATATCTTGTCTGCTTGCGTTTGCACTTAAAACAGTTCATCCTTCCCCTTTAAGAGCTGGTCCATATCCTTCTGGCACAGGGCTAGGGTATGCAGTCTTTTGGGAACAATTCATTGAGATGCAAAATAGCTCTTTGTTATGCCTTCCTGGATGGGTACCAAGACTTAAAATAGATTTTACTGAATGTTAGGACCTTTTAAGCACCAGCCAGACCACACCAAATTTTACAGTGTGGACAGGCCTTAAGTCAACTTATCACAGAAGGGTGTTCTGGAACTGTAGTTTTAAAAAGTAACTTATCTCTGAGCAACATAGTGCCAATGCATCCAATAGTACCTGTGGCCTATGCTCATCTCTGTGTGTGTGTGTTTGGGAAGTTACAATCAGCCAGCAGTGACACCTCCATGGTCCAGCCATTCCGTGCCTCCAATAAATGCAAGTGATGTACTATCACTTCTCTACAGTATCACTTCTCTGCTACTCCTGCTTTCTGATGTTCTAGCTTTCTGTTACAAAAAGCTTTCCAAATCATTGAAAGCAGATATAAGATAAGATACCACAATCTGGAGATGAAGAGGATGGAATTCTGTCCCTCAGCCTTCACTGGCACCCACTCTGCCTTTACACATGCACTGCCACCGATTTGCATAAACTATTAAGCAGCAGGCTAAATAGATGTGGCCTCTTTAGGCTGTAATCCAGCGCTGAGATGAGCTAAGCGCACAGCACTTACTCCTGCATGTAATCAATTTCAGTGCAGCACATTCATTATTGTTGCCTTTAGCATTAATATGTCTCATAAAGCAAATGCTCCAATGTGTTGCCCAAGGTCTCTGCAGCTTGTTCACTGCCTCGGCTCTCTCCTTTCCCCCGACCCCCCACCTCCCCAAAAAAGGCTGGAGTTCTAATGAGGGTCTCTGCATCCATGGATTTAGCATTCATCCCTATGATCTTCAGGGAGTCAGGTGCTGCGGGACAAGCAGTAGTCAGGACTGAGGAGTAACTAAGAACTAAAGACTAAAACAAGAGGCAGAACTGAGAATCCAGATAAAGTTTGTTATTATCAGAACTGCAGAGCTGGAAGAGACCCTATGGATTATGAATTTCGGCCCCTGTCCAGGAGGCCAAGTGGGGAATTGAACTCTCAAGACACCTAAACCACTGAGCTATCAAAGAGCAGGTCAGAAATCAGGACTAGAGCTGAAGGATTTTCCTTTCTTTTTGCACTACGCCTGTTATGGAAATTGCTGTGTATGTTATGTGCCAGCAAGTTGGAACCCACTTATAATGACTCCCATAGGGTTTTCAAGGTAAGTGAGAAATTTAAGGGGTGGCTTTACCAGTTCCACTCCCCCAGTGAGCTTCCATGGCTAAATGGGAATTCGAATCCTGTTCATCCGTCACTCTATCCCCTACACCACACTGGGAATCTTCTACCACAAGATATAATGATAGTCACCAGCTTGACAGCTGTAAAAGGAGAGTAGTCAAATTCACAGAAGACAAAACCATCAACCGCTACCAGTCATGGATTATATAGTTGCTGTCACCTCAAAGACATCTGGTTGGGTACTCTGTGAACAGAATGCCAGACCTCCCCAGATTTCAGCAGCTCCTAACACGTGGCTGTGGTCTCCTTTATTATGTCATGGCACACATAGCAATGTAGTAAATAACAGCAATACAAATGAGGCAGGATATCTAGGCATTAATATCTGGCAGAGTCAACAGGAATTATTGCTAGATGAAGGGGCAAAGCTGCATAGCACCACGTTGGCATAATTTGCTCACAAAGTACTACACCAGTGTGTCTGCCTGTGTACATTAAAATAATAAATACATTTAGGATTGGAGGGGGAAGTGCACCCTTCCTTCCCCCATTCCATAGGCACCCATTGAGACATGAGATTTACAATTTCTGTACCTAGAGATTTATGACTGATTTATGCCAATGCTCAGTGGACTTGTTTAATCTGCAATCAGTCTGTTTGATGGGAAGTTTTAGATTTAAGATTGGCACATAGAAGGTACTCCAATGCGGCATCAACCCATAGCTGCCTTTGTTTCAACAAGAATCCTGCATCAACCAAAGAGAAGAAGGACACAGAAGGATGTTCCCGGAAGAATGGGAGGACTGTGAACACATTTGGGCATCCCCTGGGCAATGACTACAACCTGTTAGCTGATATTCCCACTCCAGAAACACCACTGGCTTGCTTCTGGCACAAATGAAAAAGAAAAAGAAGAACCAAAGTGAAGGCAGGATTAATTACACTTCACGCATGGCCTGCATTCCAAGGAATTCATCTTAAAATATTACCTACTGTTTTAGTCAATCAATCTAGTAGGTAAATCATGGAAACAAGAGGGAATAATTTAAATAAACAAATCATAGCAATACATAAGTCTAATTGTCCATCTTTTTCTGAAGTCAGAACTTCTCTAAGTAGGCCAAAAAAATCCAGATGCCCACAAACCACAGGCACCTAAAGATTAATCCTGGTGACTGGGATTCTGAACAGGGACAGAGAAAATGTATGCTCTGCTAAATCCCAAGATTTTGGTATGGTGGAGCTTTGGATACATAGAGGAGCCTGCCTCACTGCTTCCGTACATCCTGCAAGCTTCATTCTAGGACAGTGGTTCTCAACCTTGCGTCCCCAGATGTTCTTGGAATATAACTGCCAGAAATCCTGGCCAGCACAGCTACTGGTGAAGGCTTCTGGAAATTTTAGTCCAACAACATCTGCGGATCCAAGGTTGAGAACCACTGTTCTGGAATTTGGAACTGAGATTCTGATTGCTCTGTGCTGCTCACCTATCTTACAGTGGTGATATCTAGCATTGTATGCTTGTCTGAATGTTACTGGTATGGCATATAAACATTTGAGTAAATGAGTAACAGTGCAAACCTATGCCTGTCTATTCAGAAGTGCTAGTGACACCTGTGCAAGTTTATACAGGACTGCAGCCAGAGTTCAGTATATTACTATAGCAAATGGCTCTGAGACAAGTCAAAAGGTGTGGATTCCAAGGCAGCTAGCCATTTCAACCTTGGCATTTTTCAGTTGATTCCTGCCTGCATGGGGAAGAGGGACAGCTCCAAAAGCACAAACAAAACAAAACAAAACAAAAAAAGAGCGAAGTCCTTGCTGATATAGAAGAGGCTTTCATCTGCCACAGCCCTGCCAACATTACAGGTGGGTGACAGTTCATGGGCTTATATGACAGGCAGAGATATAATAATAATCTTAGAACAGCAGAACTGGAAGGCACCCTATGGATCATTGAGTCCAGCCCCTGTCAAAGACACCCAGTGGGGAATTGAACTCCTAACTTAAATGACTGAGCAATCCAGCAGTTCTGGCACAGCAATGCAAAGAAAATCTATCAAGACAAGAAACAGATTTTTTTTAATGCAATGGGAGGTGTTTTCCCAAGTTTAATTCTAGGACTAGGGTTGTTTTAGGAGTGATATTGTGTATACATCAGA